GAACCTCGGTTTCCTCCCTTAAGAATGACCCGGTGGAGCGTGCGGATTGCAAGGGAACTTGAGACCAATTGATGCTCAACTCGGAACCGGGGGTTCGGAACTGCGCGGGGTCAGGACTGAGCTGCTCTGGACAACGTGTCTGAATTCAGCAGTTTCCATAGTTTCTGTCAGTTCTAAATTAGAAAATACCCGAAGTTATCTTGCTGCTTGCAGACTAGAATTGGCAGTTTGTCAACCTACGCGGAAGTACCTTATAGGCCCAAATGACACACACAACACGCAGGATGGTGGGGTTGGAAGGGACCTCAGGAGATCATCCAGTCCAACCCCCTGCCAGAGCAGGTTCCCTAAACCAGGCAGGTTGTACAGGAAAGCACCCAGGCAGGTTTGGAACATCTCCAGAGACTCCACACCCTCTCTGGGCAGCTTATTCCAGGGCTCTCACACCCTCACAGTAAAGATGCTTTTCCTTAAGGACATCTTACTATGCCCTTTGCTGGCTTCTGTCATCTTAATAGGAAAATATGCTGGGATGCAGAGACTTCAGCTGAAGTCATAAATAGAAATTGACCAGTTTCAGTTTTTTTTTTTAAAGAGAACCCATCTGCTCATTTTGAGAGGCTCTCCTCATCTTTATGAGGAGAGGTTTACCCAGATGTGCCCTGTCCTTTTCCAGAAATGCAGATATCACTTGTGTGCTGCATGTCGTTGTGTAAAATTACATTAATGGTAAGTATCCCAAACTACATTAAAGAATTTATGGAACAAGGATGACATTAAAAATTAGTAAAATTACTCATTTTAAAAGAATAAAAAAATAATGTCTTTCTCCTTTAAAATCCACCATTCTGAAGTTAAATTCCTCCTTTAGTGAGCATACAATGATGCAGGAAATATTGTGTTATATAAGCAATAATATGTGTATTATGCCCTTTAAAATAAAAAATGGGACAGAGCCTCCGCACTAAAGGATCTGTATTCTAAGAACCTGGTCATGGATTTGCATTTCTGTTTACCCAGTGCTTTCCACTGCAGTGGTCACAGCAAGAAGAGATAACGTTAACACAATGGTGTATTAATTGAATGGCGAAGAAGCGTATGGGAGTGGTTTGCTGTTCAGTTCAGATAACACAAAGCTGGAGCTGTCCTTAATTATGGGAACTTCAAAGTATCTTCCAGTCTACCCTTTTATCTAAACCTCCTTAATGTAGCATATAGGACTCCCTTCTCAGCTTCTTAATTCTTGTGAAAACCCAGTTTGTCTGAGCCACCTACACATTTCGCCATACACATACTTTGTACAGTTGCCTCTGACAGTCACATTGCGTGTGAGAGTAGATACTATGATTTATGTTCCCGTAGGTCTGCCATTTTGAATAGGCACTTAGGAAAAAAACAAATCAATTAATAGCAGCAATTAAAAAAAGATGGAAATTACTCCCTAACTTTTTTTTTCTTTTCAAATTTTGATACAAAATCGGTTGATGAACTTTTGCTTTGTTTTGGTGTATACTGCTTATTTTAGTCTGCAGTTTTAAACCAGAAGGAATACGAAGAGATGTACTTTAATTTTAAAAAGAGCCAGTTTTAAAAAAGAGAGTGGTCCTGTACTTGTACAATTACTGCAAAGGTAAACTAAGCAGTCTTACAAAGAAGTTACTATCGCTTGTCTTTTGCGCGTGAGTTACCCTTTGAGCATAACAATTTTGTAAATTATGCCCATAGATTAAATGTGATCCTAATTTATTTAGAAGCCCAGACCAGAAGTTATTATTGTTTTTCTTGATAATAATTGAAATCTTTTCAATCACATCTTTTTTTTCTTTTTTTTTTTCCCAAGAGACAGAAATGATAAATCATAGAAGCACCTAACCTGCTTCTAGCCCTGACAAAGATTTCTTTCATAGTGACTTTGAGGAAGTCACTTATGTCTCTTATACCTTACTTTCCTCAAATATACTGGAATTACTAGGTTTGCTGTGATTTTAGTATTCTCTATGTGTGTTACATACTTTTTTAAGATTGATCTTTAATTATCTGATACGAATTCAAACTTAAGAGCTAACAGACAGGAAAGCTATTATCATTTTAAAATTTTCTCCCTTTGCGTTGGTTTTATAGTACATTACTCTTATTAAAAAAATAGTTTGCAGTTTCGTTAGAACTATAGGTTAACTCAGTTTTCATCAGCATGTGCAGATCTTTTGTTCTATGGGGGAGATATTTTTGCTCTGCCACCTGCTGATTCATGTATGCTTATGTGCCATAGGATTCTCTGCCAAAGTTTTAAGAGTTTCTCGGAACTCCAATCATGCAACAGTATTACTTAACAATGGACTGGAAAGCAAACACTTCCTCCCTTGAGAATTCCAGGAAAAATGAGGAAAAGAATAAAGGTTTTTTTATTCTGACGCAATTTGTTCTTTTTTTTTTTTTTTTCTGAGCAGCAGGAAAGGCACTTATGTTCTTTAAAAAAAAAAAAAAATTACTATGCTCAGTCATGTTTTGCCCATTCCCAAAATGTGAAAAACTGAGCTCTTGAGTAATAGTTTTCTTAAGCATTTATGATAAATTCCTCTTTCAGGTATGTCCTTCATTACTAGATGAGCAGTAACTGCCTCAGAGAAGGTCACAAAAGTTTCCATTCTAATCTTCTGTTTTCACTAACAATGTTCTTACCCCTTCACCTCTAAGATTGAAATTTTCCATGTTTAAACTTAGAAGTTTGTTTTAAAGAGTGGTCAGTCATGCATGTGAGAATGGAAGAAATACAGTATCATTAAATGTGATTTTCTGACAAGCGCAGAAACTAGGATTATGAGGTTCAGCCTTGGAGCTCAATCTGACATACTGAAGTAAAGACTGATCATAAGGGAAGTGTTAATACTTCAAAATATATTGAAAAAAAAATAAGATTCTATTGCTACATTTCACAATAGTTTGATTTATGGAGATACATTTATCAGTAAAATCTGTGGTCATCTTTATTTAATCTGACAAGCGCAGAAACTAGGATTATGAGGTTCAGCCTTGGAGCTCAATCTGACATACTGAAGTAAAGACTGATCATAAGGGAAGTGTTAATACTTCAAAATATATTGAAAAAAAAATAAGATTCTATTGCTACATTTCACAATAGTTTGATTTATGGAGATACATTTATCAGTAAAATCTGTGGTCATCTTTATTTAAAAAAAAAA